TAAATCTTTAAAAAAAAAAACAAAACAAAAAACCTAAGAGTTAAGGATACTGAGGGTAGACAAAATGTCTTACTCATCTCTGTTCTTCCATGACATGAGTTAGCTACTCAAATGTTGTTTGATTAATGTAACAACCAAAGTGAACAATGAAGGTTTTTTTTTCTTTCAGTCCAAGTGGCTACCTGGTCGGCGCTTTACTCTTTCTTCTGATGCTAATAGTATTCAGTCTTCTAGTTTTGAGCTATTTTCATTACATGAAGATTTATAGAAAATATATTTATGAACCAATTACCAAATATAAAGGAAAACAAAAAGGCAAATAGGAAAAATGAAAATGTGTTTATTATGAATATATGTCCGCAGAGAGTGTCTGATGATACACTTACATTGCCAGTGTTTTTTAGACCAAGAAATACTAAATGTATATATATATTCTGTATGCAAAAAAAGTCCCCTCAAAAAATTGCTCCTATGTTTTCTCCAAGTAGAAATTTTTCATTTATATTGTGTGTTACAAAATTAACCCTTCGTGTGCTTACATTTGACTTAAGGTAATTTTTATACTCTTATATAACTTTAAAAAAATTTTTTTTACCCAAGTATGGCTATTAAAATCTTTTATAACATGAAAATAAATTTTTAAAAAATGTATAAATGTGTAAAGTATTATTTTACTCAAGACTTTTCATATGAAACCTTTTTTAATAAATGCATACAAATAATGTGTCTTTAAATAACATGTCCTGGGCAGCTGTCCCCTGCCCACCTGTGCCCAGGCAGGTGCTGCTTTCCACCCGCTCTCTCCCTCTGCGGGCAGCAGCCTCCTGCCTGCCCGTGACCTGTACCATGCCGGGGCTTCTCTGCACTGACCTCCCTCAGGGGAGGCCGCTCTCCTAAGGCCGCCCACCTGCAGCCATGCAGGCCTCTTTCCCTGCAAACCTGTCCCTTCCCGGGCAGCTCTTCCTGCCCGCTTGCACCTATCCAAGTGTCTTTCCTCTCCGGTCTCTTTCTAATAAACTTACTCCTTAAATAAAAATAAATAAATAAATAATTTGTCTTGAATATACATCAGGAGTTTTTCTAATGGTGGAGTCATATGTGAAAATTTTATTATAATGAAAAGATGTGGATGTTTCAAATTTTTAAATTTTATTTGGAGTCCCAAAATAAGCTTCTTAATTTATCCAGTGTCGTCACAGCCTTCTAAATAATGAGTATTTCTTTTTTCTAAAGATTTATTTATTTGGACGTACAGAACTGGGGTACAGGCCAGAGGTGCAGGGACGGTGAGAGGCTTCACCAGAGACAGAGCGGGGAGCAGCACAGGCCGACTGAGGAAGCACACTGCTGAGGGGTGCAGCGGGTTCGTCAGGAGCGGTCTGCCGCGCCCTGTGGTCACCTCCAAGGTCGGGGATCAAACTCGCACTGAAGTGGCTGCCACTAGCTTGCAGTGATGAGTCCTAACCAATTGTGCCACCAGAGAGGGCCAATAATGAGTATTTCTAACAGCATTCAAGCAGAGAAGTAGAATCTGTGTGTGAGAGGGAGAGACAGAGAGGGACTATATGCCAGGAATTGGTGTAATTATTTAATCCCCATCAGTGATCCTACGATTTGGGAAAAACTATTATCTCATTATAGAGATAAGGAAACTTGCACAAAGATGATAAATAATTTTTCTAAGGTCACACGTGTGGAAAATAATGGATCTGGAGTTCAAACTAACCCAAGTGAAGAATCTACAGGTGTACAATGGGGGCTTGTTTACGACCTCTAATTTTGGGGTTTTGCTTCTCAGGGGCTTTTGGGGGGTGTGTGTGTGTGTCTATTTTCGATAGTTCTTTCAGCTGGGATTCTGCAAGGACAGATTCTGTTTGCCCTCCTTAAATTAGCTTTGGAAAAGTCAGAAGCTCAATTGCTGGCACAAAGAAAGAGAGCTCAACCTTCCTCTCACCTGACAGTGTCGTGAGGAGGTGCGCGGAGAGAAGGCCCACCGTCTCCTAGCCCCCTTGGGCCCACCATTCAGATAGGGACCCCTCAGGGGAGACTGTGGCATCTCTACAGCCTCATGGCCTCCCCCGGAACAGCTTCTCCTTCTCAGACCAGGCAGGGGACCCACTTTGGAAAAAGAGCTGCATTGGGGAGGACAGTTCCCTCTTCACCAACTGCCAGTGCGAGGGCTGAATGAACGGAACAGGGTCAGACGGGTGGATGCTACTGGTCATTCAGCCCCACCCATGTCCATCAGATACCTCCTGAACTGGAGAAACTCTGTCCTCCCATCCTAGCAGGGTCATACAAGGACAGTCAGTTTGTGTACATCTATGTGGCTCCCACCCAGCTACTTGTGCAGAATCCATGTCAAACACATTAACATCCAGCGAGCAGAGAGACCTCAGGGAAGGCTGGTGAAGAGCTCATCTCCACCAGAAGGATCTGTCAATAGAAACCCGAGAAGCTGTTTCAACGGTCTATCCTGCCTGGGACCTCACTGAGGATATGAAAAGGTTAGAGTGCTATCAGAAGTGCTTGCTAGTGGGACTGAGGCAGGGAATTCCAGAGCAAAGCCGTTTGGAAAGACACTGAAGCTTCAGTGAAAGGTGAATGAGAATCTAGCTGAGTTCCGTGAAAGGGTCACGTAAACATATAATACCTACTCAGACAGAAAGCCTGGTGCTTCAGAAACTGCTTGAATGACTATTCTGACCTTCACTGGGCAGAGCACTCCAGCTATGAGGAGGAAATTATAAGGTAGCTAGTGCAGTAGAGATGAGCCCTTCCCAATTAGTGGATATAACTTTAAGGCTTATGATGCAAGAGAGGAACAGCAACATAGACCTAGGTTGGTATGCAGAGAGAAGATGGGTGGGGCTGAATGACCACCCAGGCATAGGCTCGGAAGGAAGAGAGAAGTATCATGGAGACAGAGCAGGATAATAGAATCTTTAAGGAAGAATCAGTGCACGTAGTAGAAAGAGGAAGGATACCGGAAGAACAGGTGTTCCAGGTTGGAAGCAAGAAAGGGAAGAAATAATGAGAACATCCAAATGTCCCACAGAAAAACATTTGATCGAAAACGAATGTGCACGTAAATTGCATGGCTGTTTTCCCTTTGTATCATAAATTTAGATGTTGCCTGCAGAAATGACAACGGGGCCTCATTCAAAAGATTACACCTGTGAGCGCTGGCACAAGGAACGGGGGCATTGCCTGCAGAGGATATGAGGCTTCCCTTACATGTGCGCCTCACCGTGTCACCGTGGGTTCTCTGGGTACTCACTCTGGCCTGCCTGATCCAGAGATAAGTGTCTATTGGGCTGAAGTTTCTCTACGGTTGGGTTCCCAGAACCACAGAGGAGAAGCTGCTGTGGCTTACAGCTACTCTGAACTCAGGTCTCCACCAAGCACCGTCACTATATGAGGCTTAGAACAGATTTAAATTCTGTGATGGTATCCCGGTACCCAGACATCTGACTTCATTGCCAGATAAACAATGACAAGAATTAAAGGTGGGGGGGGTTGTTAAGAGCCACACAACTCAGAATTCATGGCGCTGTGGGGTGAGCCTGGCTGCGCCTGCTCAAGCCCAGCTTGATGGCAGGGTTTGGAGGAGGCTCTGGAATGCAAAGCAGGTTTGAAAACACGTCCATCAGGTTTGAGCCCAGTTTCCATCTCCTGGATATTGAAAAGGCATCTCCACCTTGACCAAAAGATGACTCCGGATTGCCCTCTTCATAAATGGCGCCACCATCTTCACAGCTCGCCAAACCACCCCTGCAGAAGCCATGGTTGAATATCCTCTCCCTAACATGTCCAACACCCTCCTCACTGGTCTCACCGCTCCTTCCTAGCGATTCCACCTTTTCCCAGTATTCCCAATACCACAATGTCCAAGACCCCTCGATGTGCGCTTCCTAAAGAACGCGATTTGCTTTCGCCTTTTAACGCGCGGCTGGTGCTCACACGTCCTCTTAAACCTCAGGCTGCACACACCTTTCTCCTGCAGCCAGCCTGAGCCTACAATCCTTCACGTCCTAAGTTAATTCTCAGCATTGCCTGGAATGCGGCAGGCGCGTCGCGAACATGTGCTCCATGAGTAGGAAAACCTCCTGCACCCCGGGTTGGGCTCGTGCACGGAAAACCTCCTGCACCCCGGGTTGGGCTC